ACAGCTTTTCCACCGACACTGGTAAAAAAATATTTCGAAGTCCATTCTTTGTTGAATATTCAGGCTTCAGCATTCACTTTCCGCTTCTTTGATAAACTCATTTCGAATTAACATCCTCTTCAGTGAAACGTATTGTCGTGGTTGGTGCTCGTGTGTATGAAAATTTGCCGATCCATACATTTCTGACGTCAGCCTGATTCAACACTTAAGGGAGCGGACGAAGGGTGATATAACACAGACNTTTTTTTGTGGATCACCTGGACTATCTGTCACATGCCAAAATCCATCATCATGCTTAAGCCCTATCCAAATCAGACTGAGAGTTCCACATATATGGCACTTACTTAAGAAAATGGGTCTGGACGGAATACAAACTGCCTTCCTGAAAGTGTGATGTGGATGGTAAAGCTCCTGAAACTAGTCCTCCAGGTAATAAAAGTAACAACAATAACAGTATGAATATCAATAATAACATGAATGGATGTTATTTTCTTAACATATTTGAGCTTCCTAAAATAGCTTCTTTTTGTTAGAGATTGATATTTTGTTCACCAAGTATTTTGTCTAGCCACCTTTAAATAGTCTTATAATCATAATAATAATAATAAACCTAGCATTTGACATAACACCTTATCACATCTTCGAGAGGTCTCAAAGTGCTTCACAGAATATACTGTAAAGTGAATTAACTGTATATTTTGTGGGTGAAATGCGGCATCCAATTGCACACAGCGGTGTCCCACAAACAGTACTGGATTGAGTGACCAAATTATTTTTATTTTGAAGGAATTATTACCCTCGGAAAAGTGATCTGTCAATCGACTAACAACCGGGTTCCTACTTACTGCTAGGTAAACAGAGATGTGTGGAGTAAGGAAACTTGCCCAATGTTTTGCCCTCCTGGAATCGAACCTAGGTCCTCTCGCTTGTGAGGTGAGTGCTCTAACCACTGAGCTACAGGACTCCACTACCGGTCTTATTAAGAGTCCCAATTGCATATTGAATTTGTATATCAAAATATTTTCTGATTTTCTCTAGTTCCTTATTTTTCATATTGTAATCATTTGGGATAGCCACATCAATAATACTACATGTACAGTCTATTAGATTCTTTAGGATAATATCTGGTCTGTTACAGCTACTCTGAGACGCTACCCTGTGTGAAGGACGCTATATAAGTGCAAGTTGTTGTTGTAGATGATTCTCCTGTATCTAGTACTCGTGAATCCCAGATTATTGTGATGTTGTTTCTCGATGTCACTTTTGCTGATTGATCTTGATACTAGTTGGTCTTTGCATCAATATCAAAGTGTTTACAAATGTAAGTGAATATATTTATCTACGTTTAGTAATACTACTATTACAAATCTAGTAATCCTTACATTTGATATTGTTCTTTATCACGTCGTCAATATGTATCAAAGCACTTCATAGAATTTTACTGTGAGGTGTAGTGAGTCTACTTGTAGGCAAACACAACATCAGGTTTAAGAACATAGGAACAAGAATGGGCTGTTCAACCTCTCAAGCCTGTTATATCTTTTTATTAGAACATAGCTGATTTTGCCTCAATTCCATTTACGAGCATTTTCTCTACAACCCTTCATACTATTACCTAACAAATATTTATCACTCTCAGACTTCAAAATTCCAACTGACCCAGCATGAAAAAATACTTTCCATCCTGGATGCCACCCTCCTAACTCCTGGAACTGCGGAAAGCATAGGAAAGGTAGATGGCGCCAAGCCGGTTTGTCCTGGATATTACCATCCTACCTCCTGCAAAAGTGGAAAGTGCAAGAAGGGAGATCATGCATGTCTACAGCTGGTCCTAAGCAACGCCATTTTACCCCCAACGCAAGAAGGAGGAGAGAATTAATGAACTGTTTTAGATAAGCAAGATGGAGGAGATTCTGTAAGTCATTTTGGATAAGAAGTAAAGGTTCGTGTAAATAGTTATCAAAGTTTAAGTTAAGGAGTTATAAAATAGGTAATGTTAAACAATAAATAGATAAGTATATGTTTGAGAAGTGAATTCAACAAGTCTGTTGAGCCTGGGACAAAGGTGTAGTCTGAAAAAACCAGCTTATTCTGTTCAGCCAAAAATGTCAACCTGTGAACAGAGATACCAAAGGCACTTCTATTTTATATTTTCAAGCTCATTTAAAATAGTAATATCAAAGTCAGTATCAAAGTTTATAAGTTCATAAGCAGTAGGCAGACATCTCTTGCTCTTAGTTTTTCTAGATCTGGAATACTAAAAATAGCAGCCCTTGAATTAATGAATCAAAGGTTTTGTCCTTTGTGGAATGCTGATGATAGCAGGCAAAGGATCAAAGTTAAATCTATGGCAATTACAACAGGAGCAATAAAGCTGTAAAATGAATAGTAATATTAATAATCCTTGCATTTGACATAGCACCTTATCACGTCTTTGAGACGTCTCAAAGCGCTTCACAATATATACTGTAAAGTGAATTGACTGTATATGTTGTGGGCAAAATGCGGCAGCCAATTGCGCACTGCAGTATCCCACAAACAATCGTGGATTAAAGTGACCAATTCATCATTGTTATTTTTATTTGAGGGATTATTATCAGGCGTGTGAAGTAAGGAAACTTGCCCAAGGTTTCGACCTGCTGGGCTCTAACCACTGAGCTACAGGACTCCATTACTTCATTATACAGGAATCGTTATGGGCAGAGGCCAAATTAGTTTCTGGAATAGTGATCCCTCAGGATGCCAGCTATTCTGTACTGGTCAGTGTCTAAATCTCTATTAACGATAACACCAAGTATGCCCCTGGGATCCCCTCTACTCCTGTCCACTGCGGGAATGGAGACAGTCACGTTGTCTCCAAGTGTAGCAGCTTGGACATCAGCTGACTCCACTTCACCATCCTCCCTGCTTGTGCTACTTGTGCCATTTGTACAGCTGCTCTTCACTTTCTGATGTGGTTCGTGTGATCTTCCAGGGCCTGTGAAATAGGAGTCTGTGAAGGAGGATCAGTGGACATCTCTAGAGTCGAGGACATGGAGACTACAGGGCTAAGCTGCGATGGATCTGTGACACTGGAGACTGGAGAAACTAATGCACTAATAGTCGGTGTCTCGATGACCTCGATTGGACTGGGTTGACCTACAGAAGTGCCAGCTGACAAAGGGTGGGTTCGGTAGTGTGCGTAGCCCCATTGCTGTGGGATCGAAGCTTCTGTGGTTGTTACTTGAGGTGGAGTGGTTGTCAGCTGGTACTTCTTCTGGCACATTACCAGCAAGAACAGCAAGGAGATCAAGCTCACTTTTCAGTGTAGAAATCACCTCTGTTGGCAGTGCTGAAGATGTTTGCAAGACCGAAGCCCTCCTGATTGGATCGCGCCAGCACCTCCGCACCTCGGGCACTGGCAGCATCAGCATCCATGGCCGCAGACTCAACCTCACTGAGCCAGTCAGGAACCTGGGTGTTGTGTTTGACCCTAAACTGTCCTTTCTCCCCCACAACCGCGCCATGACCGACACTGCCTTCCACCACCTCCGCAACATTGCCAGACTCTGCCACTGCCTCACCTCTCAGGCTGCCAAACCCCTCACCCACACATTCGTCACATCAAGTCTCGATTACGGGAACTCCCTCCTCATCGGCTTTCCCAACTCTTCCCTACACAAGCTGCAGATCAACCAAAACTCTGCAACTCATGTACTCTCACGCACCAGGCTCCATGACCCATCACTCCCACCCTCACCTGACTCCACTGGCACCCCATCCCCTAGAGGATCGAGTTCAAGATCCTCATCCTCACTTTCAATGCCATCCATGGCTTTGCCTCCTCCTACCTCTGCTGACTCCCAACCAACCTGTCCGCTCCCTCCGTTCAGCGAGCTCCGGCCTGCTCCATGACTCCCGCCCGACCCATCCTACCATCGGTGGCCGGGCTTTCAGCCTCTCTGCCCCCACCCTCTGGAACTCCATCCCACAGTGCCTTCGTTTCGCTTCCTCCCTTGCCTCCTTCAAGGCCGGTCTCAAGACATTTCTCTTCGATCGTGCCTTTGGTCGCTCTCGCACCTCTCTGCCTTCCCTCACCCCGACACCACCCCTCCCCCATGCTTGGGTCCCGACATCTGACTGTTCAGCACTTTGGGACGTCCTCCCGATGTGAAAGGCGCTCTATCAATGTAATTTTGTTGTTGTTCGACTAACACAAGTCTTATTGCCAAACATAGCAGCACAAGGGGAGCAATGTATTCCTCAATGGTGAACAGAGTCATAAATGCTTCAAAGCAAAGCGAAAATGTATATCCCGGTGTCATAGAAGCCTCACTCCTGTGTTAATAAATTAACATTTGACTCCTCAGTGAATGAAATGTCACTTTTTGTCTCTAAATTTCAGAGATTTCATGGTTCCACAATTTTAAAGAAAATTTCAGGAATTTGGGTTAAAGTAATTTCAGTTTTTTCGCAAAATCCTTGATTTCACAATTTTATTGTAACATACACAACAACCACTTGCACTTATGTAGCGCCCTCCACACAGTGTAGCATCTCAGAGCACTTAACCGTAGCAAAGCCTGACTCCGAGCCAGGGAAAATGGGGAGGTGGCATGCTCGAAGATGAAAGTTTTCAGGCAAGACTTGAAAGAGGGGAGAGAGGGGGCAAGGCAGAGGGATTGAGGGAGAGTGGTCCAGAGTTTTAAGGCGTAGTGGCTGAAAGCACAACCTCCAATGGTGGGGCATAATTTGGGAGAGACAAGCAAGAGGCCGGTGCCAGTCGAGTGAAGGCGCGGGTGGTGGATTGGGGAATGAGGAGGTCGGAGAGGTAGGGAAGTGCCAAGGAGTGAATGGATATACACCTATCTATACAGCCCAGCTCTATATCAAATGAAAGGTTTATGGATCTATTTGAAAACACTTTGGCTAATCACCACACCCCCTCCAGTTGAGTGTCAATTTTAGTTTCAGTTTTGGTAGAATGATCAGTAAATCTTTCTGGTCTCTTCATCAGTCTGCTATTGACTTGTTTGTGTGAACGATGTGCTCCAAGCTCTCAGTTGTTAAGGAATTGTGTTATTAAGCTTTAATTTGCTGTTGAAATATTACACTGTGGTGTGCTGCGTGGATCGTAAACACAGCAGGATGAAATTACGGAGTTATTTTTTCATTGTGACGGCAATTATTATTCTTTCTGGTTTTGTTCTCATCTTGACGAATCAAAATGATGTGAAGAATTTTGATTTGATAAGTTACATCAGGTATGTTTTACTTTTTCAATATTAAAATGTAGAGTTTGTTTAAATGCAGAGGGACATTGCCGTAAAAGTAACAACTAAACTCAACAATTGAAATTGTTTGTAAAATACTATGTTTGCTTTGTGTTTTTTTTTACAGAAGTGCTTTCAGACAAAAAACATTTTCTCTTATTGTTACATTATACATGCATGTAATGCTTTATCGAAATGTTATATTGTCTTTGGACTGTATCATAGAGAGCTTTCATTACTGCTGTCAAGCCCTCAGAATGAGGAGGTCGGATAGGTAGGGAGGTGCCAGGGAGTGAATGGATTTAAACACGAGTGTGAGGATTTGAACGCGAGTGTGAGGATCTTGAAGTCGATCCGTTTGGTGATCGGGAGCCAGTGGAGCCTGGCCAGAACTGGTGAGATGTGGATACACAGAAGGCATTTGTTTTTTTGGTCCTATGTTAATTTTTAATGCAGAATTTGTCAGTGCATGCAGCAGGCAAAACATTTGGTGGCATTGTGTGGTATTGTGAGTCAGCTACAGGAAGGGAAAGGGGCAAATATATTGTATAAACATGGCAGACAGTTTTTCTCAATTTAAGGCTAAGAAACTGATACGATAATAAACTGTGTTACGACATGTGTTAGAAGCTGATTACGTATCATGTATGAAACACAAGCATTAGATGAATATAACAGCTTTTACCGCTCTGTACACAAAAAAAATGTTGCTGAAAGAGACATAATTGTATTATTAAAATAGTGTCCAGTTTCCTGCATCTGACTGAGCTGGATGTCAGTAATAAGCTGCTTTTGCTGTTCTTCAATATATTGCTATTGTTTGGATCCAGCTGTGCCTTTGTGTGGAGTCCTGTAGCTCAGCGCAAGCGAGAGACCTTGGCTTGATTCCCGGCAGGGCGAAATGCTGGACAAGTTTCCAACTCCATAAATCTCTGTTTACCGAGCAATAAGTAGGAACCCGGTTGTTAGTCAATTAGCAGATCACTTTTCCGGGGTTAATAGTTCCTTAAAAAAAATTAAAATAATAAATTGGTCACTTCAATTCACGACTGTTTGTGAGACTCTGTTGTGCACAATTGGCGACCATGTTTCGCCCACAAAATATACAATGAATTCACTTTACACTGCATTGTTTGAAGCGCTTTGAGATGTCTCGAAGACGTGATAAGGCGTTATATTAAATGCAAAGATTATTATTATTATCATCACTCCATACCTGAACCCAGCACCTTGGGCGGTCCTCCCGACGTCAAAGGCGCTATACAAATGTAATTTTGTTGTTGTTGAACTTATATAATAATAATAATAATAATCCTTGCATTTGATATAGCGCTTTTCATGTTTTCTAGATGTCTCAAAGCGCTTCACAGAATATGCTGTAAAGTGAATTGACTGTACATTTGTGGGCGAAATTTAATAGCAAGGAGATAAAAAGCCTCATTGAAATAGCTTGAGTGTTATTTGATTACAAAGTACATGGGCCATAAACTTTACAGTAATTGCTGTGAATCGTTTTGAGTAGTCAATCTGATGCGAAAAGTGCTACGTCAATGCAAGAATTATTGACATTATTAGCATTATTGATTTGAGTTCTGTAGTTCAGTCGTTAGAGCACTCGCCTCACAAGTGAGAGACCTGGGTTGGATTCCCGGCATGGCGAAATCTTGGGCGAGTTTCCTTACTCCATACGCCTGATAATAGTCCCTCAAGAAAAAAATAATAAATTAGTCACTTCAAACCATGACTGTTTGTGGGACACTGATGTGTGCAATTGGCTGCCGCGTTTCGCCCACAAATATACAGACAATTCACTTTATAGTATATTCTGTGAAGCGCTTTGAGACATCTAGAAGATATGAAAAGCGCTATGTCAAATGCAAGGATTATTATTATTATTATAAATTCTCTTCTGATCACTGTTTACTGTTTGTTGCAGGGTTAACAAGGAGCAAAGAAATCAAATCTTAGCTACTCAAAAGCCAAATCCACCAGAGTGTGCAGAGCTCAGCAAGTTGTTTGCTCGTATCCCTAAGAGGTGACAAGAACTATTTTTTTGCAAAACGTAATAGAATGATACACAAATAATATTATAACTGATTATGTATATACAGGGGAATCCGCATTAGCCGGACACCTGTTAATCACAGATGCCAGGTAAATTGAATGAACTGCTCAGCCCCGATGCGGCTTGCACTCTATATTAACATTATGAAATGAGTGTGTTTGTTCGGTGCTAGAGAGGGAGGCTGGAAGAGGAAAGAGTAGAAATCTAATACAAGCTTTTATTGACTCATCTACTTCTGATGTGGAACTCGTGACCGAAACGTTGGTTAAAAGCAGGTAGTACAGATGCATTTAAGAGGAAGCTGCATATACATGAGGGAGCAAGGAATAGAGGGATATGGAAGGGAGTAGGGAGTGGGTGGAGATTCATGTGGAGTATAAACACCCTCCAGTACAGTGACCCTCCAGTACAATACTGGGGATGTGCTGCATTGTTAGTGGTGCTCTTTTAAACTAAGGTCTCATCTGCCTTTTAAGATGGATGCTTATAGTCTCATTAATATTTCTCCCGGCTTGCAAACTCCTCTGCTGCGTGCCCACTTCGCGTTGCCCTACAAAATGTCCACATTCTCTCTAATAAAGCCTTCACCATCCACTACTTTGTTTATTGAACTCCTGGGTCTTCTCCTGTAATGACCTTACCTCCTCGGTCACTCCCTCTCTGCTACTTTTGACACCCTTGCCCCCATAACCTCCCGTACTGCCTCCTACTCCCACAAGTCCGCTTGGTACAACAGCCAACTCTGCTCCCTCTAATCACAGGTAGAGGGATGAGTTGGAGAGTTCGGCAAGCAGGGAGTAAACAGAACTGCAGAAAATCAGCTTCCAGATAAGGGCTGAATTTCCAGGATCCCACTCAACCCATATTCTTAAGACATTCGTCTTAAGCTTAAGAATTTATGCAATTTTGAAGCATTGAGACCCATTTTTCATATCTTCTAGTTGTCATTGTTGCAATATCAGTATTCATTTTTACTTTTTCTAGTTTTGAAGAAGATGATATCATTAACCTCTTCAAGAAAACACAGAAATGTACATGGTATAGAAATTCCGAAGCAAACTACATATTCAGGTAAATGTTTGAACTGCAGAATTAACTATTCCAGAATAGAAACTGGATTCTTTAAATCTATTCATGAAAACTTATTGGAATCTATTTTCCACTAAGTTTTAAAAAAAAACATGGTTGCAAGATTGTTTACACTGGCAGGTCTGTGGTCAGCCTTGTGCTTTATGGCAGTCACTTGGGAGGATGTAAATGTGACAACCCAGATACACAAATCTATGAAATGGCAGCTGTAACACTATGCTGCAATTCACTTGTTCAGCTAGGACTACCCTCCGGTTACAACTTGATAAGGAGCCAAGTGGAAGGAGTGCTATCCCCAGAGAAAAATGTACCCCATCTCCAAACTACTTATAAGTCAGTCATCACCAATGCACAGGATTTCAGTGGATATACTTGGCTTGGGTAATAAATCAGGTCTACCAAAGAGAGTTGACTTAGCTTCACACTTTTTTTGCCAAGGATACCACTTTGGAGAGGCAAAAACTTGATATCAAATATCAGTTATTCCAGCTAATATAGGTTAATATACAGTATATCCTGTGAAGTGCTTTGAGACGTCTTAACAATGTGATAAGATGCTATATCAAATGCAAGGATTATTATTATTAATTTGTATAAGAATGAATGAACAGTCATGGATAAATGCAGAATTGAATAGTTTTTATAATAATAACAATCATGATAAATAATAATAATAATTATGCACTGGAGTGAAAATTCACATAGAGTGAACACATTGTCTCAGATTAGTTGTCCTGTGGCCTGTTTCCGGGCTGTACATTCTTTGTAATTTGGTATAGCTCCCTATCATATCTTTGAGACATCTCAAAATGCTTCACAGGATATACTACAAAATGCTGTGACTATATACATATGTGTGTGCATATATATATGTATATACTTTGTAGGAGAATGCAGCAGCCAATATGCGCACAGTGATGTCCCACAAACAACCATAGAGTGACCAATTGTATTTGGGGGATTGTTGGTCGGGACCAGGAGAAACTCCTTTCTTTTCAAATAATGTAATGGGATCTTTAACGTCCACCTGAAGACAGTACCTCCAACAATGCAGCACACCCCAAACGCTGCATTGGAGTGTTAGCCTAGTGTGAGAAACATGCAAATGAATTCAGAAATATATCAGAGATGCTTAATGTTGATAGCAACATGAGGAAAACTCACATTAGTCGCATCAGTCGGGATCATAATATTTAATATGACTTACACAAGTCCGAGTTGCAGGCAAACTGTATAATTCATATAAAATCCGATGTAATCAATAATCTACACTGTGCATATGTAATTCAAAGCAGCTAGTAAGTGCGCATGCGGTAACGGGTCAATACTATATTTCCCAAGACTCAATGCATTTCTACCCGCCGTGGCAAGCACACTTATCGGTAAGTGTTTGAATCACATTAAGTTGCGGAAAATGAAGTTCTTCTGGGCATGCGGCAATGGATCAAGACATCAATGGGTCAGGAAATCAGTGGGTCAGGACATCAATTCCCACGATTAGCTGCAACTAGTAAGTGTGAGAATGATGGAGAATAGAGGAGCAGCATTACGGGTTAGGAAGTGATTAATATGAGTTGTGCAAAGAAATCTAAGTGCTTTCGATAGAAAACTGAATAGGACTCGGGTGAATGAACAACTTGTTTATGTAATAAGGCAGAAAAGTTGCATCAGTTCAATAATACAGTTACAATAGGCAACGTTCCGAAAAACAAAATTCTGGAAGGGCAGACTGGCGGCAGATAAGGGCAGGGAGTCACCCCACTCAGTTTCTGTTAACTCTGCAAGCCAAAGCCCTAACGGATAGGGTGGTCCTAGCTGGACAAGCAGCCGGAAAGCTTGCCAGACAGCAATATCAATACCAAGCTATGCGGTTTTAGCTGGTTAGACTCCAACAGTACCCCAATGCACACTCTGGAGTCACCAAGCCTTGGTCTTGCCAACCTGTGCCTAATACTTTCCGGAATTAGGTAAGCAAGTTGTGTCCCTCCAGGCAGAGAGTGCGCCTTCCATTCTAACAATCTATCTCTGGTATTTCCATGTGTCGGTGGGATGCATGGAAATCCCAGCTTGGTTTGGATACTCTTAAGCATGGTGATGGGTTTCTGCATGTGTCAGACACCCAGCTGACCATAAAGAAACTTCTAAATTGATGCTATGAGGAAAGAATAGTGACCTATTGGGTGATATTATTCATTGTATATCAGCTTCTGAATTAAGGCTGCATTCAACAATTTGCTAAATTTCCAGATACTCTGAAATGTTACATAAATAGAGTAAATTCTAGACCCAGTGGAATTTCTATCCCACATAGAATCAAATTGAAATTTATAGCACAGAAGAATATGTGTACCTGTATCTGAAACAGTCAGCATATATTTAATGGAAATAGAATAGGTACAAGGATGAAGATTCTACAGAATAAATTCTGATCCAAACATTTGAAATGTTTTATCTTCCAGAGCACAGCTAACAAATTGCTGCAATGCAATCCAAAACTTCACTGTCACACAAGTCAACACAGCACGAGGAGCAAATCTGTCTTATGATGCACAGCCTAAAAAGAAAATAACGATCACGGAAGATATTTTTAATTTGCTTCCTCAGGTAAATTGTGAGTGAGTGTGTGCGAGTGTGTGTGTTCAGAAGTATAGTAACTTCCATGCTTCATGTCTCCCGCCCAACCCGCCTTAGCATTGGTGGTTGAGTCTTTAGCATCTCTGCCCCCACCTTTTGCCATTTGCCACCAGTAAAGTTTTCACATCACAGCCAATTCCACTCCAGCCATATTTGCTGTGAATACATTTCCCTGAGTTTGTCCCAATAGTTGGACATGAAGCATTCTGTTTCTTTGTGGTCTCTTTCACTGTCCACTTTCTTTAGCAAGACTTTTTCCTACCCCTGTAGTTTTCTCTCAGAATTTAGCTCTGATTTGTCAAATGCTCTGCTCCTCCCTCAACTACACTTACCTACTGGTAAGTTTTGCATTTCTACACTTTCACTTTCAAGTTGATTGTAGTTTGACGTAATTTGATCAATTAGTATGATACAGCTGTCAATAATGATTGGACAGGTCAGAGATTTTCTCTCCGGAGATGCCAATCAAGAGGGTATCTGATAGAGGTATTTAAATTAAAGTGAGTATTAATAGGCTGTTGGCACTTGTTCGTGAATCCAAAACAAGGGGAATATATATAGCCAGTAGCAAATCAATGTAGCAGGTAGTGAGAATGTGGAACTCACTATTTCAACCTGTGGTTGAAGCTGAAAGCATCTACGTATGTTTTTGTGAAGAAACCTGATGCATACAAGAGGAAGAAGGGAATAGAGGGGTTTGGGAGAGTGGATTAGGAAGGGTGAAGGTTCATGTAGAGTATAAACACAGCCACATAGGAGTTGGGCTGAATGGCCTGTTTCCATGCTGTAAAGTTCTGTGTATCTCTATTCAATACTTCTTGCCCACCGGGAAGCTCGCAGGGAGTTCCTGGTACCTACCATCCTCTAGTGAGGGGTCAAACCTGCCCTTGTCAGATGTCGGCTAACTAACGACTATCCTCCTTTACGGTGGAGAGGGAGTGGGGATAAGCGGGGTCTCCTTGGAGCTGAACTGTCTCCAACCTTGGCAATGGAATATCAGAATTGAGCCAGCCTTCTGTGGCAGTGTCGGCAGTCCAGTTCCTGAGCCAGGCAAGTCTGCTGTATGGCGGGGCACTGCTGATGACAGCACAGCCAACCTGGTTCATCAACAGGACCTGGAAGGGAGGACCCGTCACTGGCGGCAGAGAACCATCCCGTTCAGCTCCTGTTAACCCTGCAGGCCAAAGCCCAAACGGGTAGGGTGGCCCTTGCTGGACAAGCAGCAGGAACGCTTGCCAGACAGCAATATGAATAACAAGCTATACGGGTTTAGCTGTTAGACTCCAGCAGTACCCCAACGCACACTCCGGGGTCACTAAACCTTGACTCTTACCAACCTGTGTCTAATACTTTACGGAATCAGGTAAGCAGGATATGTCCCTCCAGGGAGAGAGTGCGCATTCCACTCCAACAATCTATCTGTGCAATTTCCATGTGTAGGTGGGATGCCTGGAATTCGCCAATTAGTTTGGATACTCTCAAGCATGGTGATGGCTTTCCACATGTGTCAGACACCCGGCTGATCAAAATAAAATGTTTAATAAATTACTTATTTGGCAAAACGTATATTAAATATTGAATGTCATAATTTTCTGTAAATCATTGTCATGAGAATGCTAATTGCACGTTTTCATCCATCAGAATAATAAAATCCCCATATCTAAACGCTGTGCTATGGTTGGCAATGGAGGAATCCTAACTAACAGCAGCTGTGGAGAGGAAATAGATCAGGCTGACTTTGTGTTCAGGTAATGTTAAGGATTCTCTTGAGATGGTATTAAGTTGGTAAAGCAAAAGTCTTTTATTAAAATTGACACAATCAGTATTAAAATAATACATTTAAGGAATAGATACAATTGAGAGCATATCCTTGCATTTGAGAATTGAGATCATATCCTTGTCAGAATTGAGATCATATTAACAGATCCCAGGTGGGGTTGCAACTCAATCAGTTGCCATTCTCCGAACCGCTGTCCTGAGTACACAATTCCACTTCTTTTTATAACAGCAATTTAAGTGTGTGAGACTTGAGCCATACAAAGGGTTGTTTCTACACAGCAGTGCTCAAAGCCAGATCTGCTCATCCTGTTCTTTGATCTGGGATTTTTATCACTTCCTCAATCTTGCAGTTATGTCCATTTGTCCCTCACAATGCAATCATTATCACACCTATCACATTCTGTGGGGCACCGGAACAAACTGATGGGTGTGAGAATATGTTGCTTCCATCTACCGCAACCTTAAAAATAACTCCATACAAGCAAGACCCTGATTCATCAGTTGCTCACTTTCATCCTGGTTTCCTAGGCTCTTAATTCATTTCAATATCACTACTAATACTTTGTTTAATGAGGCCTTATACATAACTCCACAATTATCACACTTAAGCAATTATTTTCAACAGTCCCCACCTTGAGAGTGAGAAAATCAAATTTTCGATCTCTCATTTATCCATGATTTAGTAAGATAGCTAACTGTAAATAGTCAAATTGCAAGTGAGTTCTTAAGTAAAGAATGGAGATAGCACAAAGAATCATATCAATCAAAACAACAAGCTGGGCAATGACAAACGCATAAAACATGAATAATAAAGTTCGGTGCAATGAACTAATCAGAATGATGCAGCGACTCAGATTAAGAATCGACTTATTAACATGGTTCGATCAATGTTGATTGTAGAATATCTCTTTTCTCAAGATAGGTTAGACTCATCTTCGTTCAAACTCAGACCTTTTTGGTCACATATGCTAAATCCGCAGTGAGACATTCAACAGCTTGTTTGTATCCTCCTTTTGTTCTTGGCAACCTTTATGTACTGATGTTACCAATGTCCTTGAGAGTCCATAGAATCAGTTCTATTTCAGCAAAACAAGTCCATGAGTCTTTGTGATTTTCTTTGGTCAACTTAAGACAAACCAGAATTCTGGGTGTGCTAACTGTCCAGTCTCCACCTCGTGTGGGTCAAGCTGACAGCACAGGCCCACTATCACCATCAGAATCTTCACAATTCCCTTTTATCCAAGCCACCACATCAATCCTTTCAACCAATTTTAACATCTGTAATTACAACGCATCATTATCAATAATATCATGATTAACATGGCCACAGAAATTTTGAATATTATTTTAGTGGGTGTTCCCTCTATCCTTGCCCGCAGGCTTTGAGCATAACTGAAATACTGGAACAGACAAAGTAAATGTTACATAAAATCAATCAGAATAATGACATTCTTAATACTATCACTTCTCCTTCTTGAACTGTCACAGTGCTTATTCTACCTATCACTTTGTGCTCTACCCCACCTGACGCATACAAAACACACGATTGCCAATGTAGACCCTGTCCTCTGTGCAGGTATTGGTTGCTGTTGTGAAGTAGACGATTGATTGGGTTGTACTTGTCCACTCGTTTCACCCCTGGACGGTTGAGCTGAAATGCGAAGACCGGCTTTGTGGGTGGGAGGGTTGGAGCGAAATGTATGAGTCGTCCCAGAAGAAGTCACCGCATGGAAGGTGACCTCCATGGTGTGTAACGAGCCATTGTCAGTATCTGTAGGAACTAAATCACAAGGTGAAATCTCCCGTTCTTTAAACACTTTCAGTTGGTTTGCAGTAGCTACTTGCGCTACTGCTTCAAAATGCCCAAGCTTTACTAGCTTTACCAGGGATTCAATTGTAGCTTGGACATAATCATAGATGCAAAAAGTTTCACTTTATGTGGCAACCAAAGGGTTAACTCTCTCTGAGCAGACTGTGCTGTTCAGCATGAAGTAGTGAGTGTCCGTTTGTATACACAAACCAGAGTTCTAGCAGTCAGTGAATTTAAACTGCACACAGTCAGTGGCTACAGTCAGTGATTTTTAAAGTTGCTGTATAAATTTCTTTCGCTTGCTTTTTTTCCTCAATTAACCCATCCTACTCTCTCTCTCTCTCTCTCAACCTTTGTTAATCTCTTTATTTGAGCGAATAGCATTTTGACCTTTCCTGACTTCTCACAAGTTCAAGCAGATTTAACTGTTTGAGGGCTTTCAGATTAGTCAATAAGTCATCTCCCTGTTCTGTCTGGAGGCATATCAGTGAGACACAAGGATCTATACGTTGCTCAATCAGTTATCTCATTGCTTTTAACTCCTTCCGTAATCTTTCAAAGTTAGACGTAACCATTTGCCCAACCTTTCTTCCAAATTTGACTCTTTAGTACCCTTCTTAATTTCACCTTCACAATCTTTCGTTATTGGTGGTTTTGTCATTTGATTTGAGTTTATCCCTTTACCTTTGCCCCTTCTGCAGAATTAATTTGTCCTGTTTTGTCTTTTAAACCTTGCAGTGAAACCTTGTTTCCAGGCAGGGCGAAACCTTGGGCAAGTTTCCTTACTTCAGTCGCCTAATAATAATCCCTCCAAAACAAAGCAATAATAAATTGGTCATTTTCAATCCATGACTGTTTGTGGGACATTGCTGTGCGCAATTGGCTGCCGCGTTCGCCCACAAATATACAGTCAATTCACTTTACAGTATATTCTGTGAAGCGCTTTGGGACGTCTAGAAGACGTGAAAAACGCTATGTCAAAATTGCAAGGATTATTGTTCCTCTGCACTTTTCCAGTTTTTTTCTCTATTCAGGCTGCTACTTTATGCTCTTTAAATTTTTCGGCTGCCTTTCCCCGTCTGGCTTCCCATTTTGTGAGTGATGTGATCCTGTGAACATTCAACTGAGCCTCCAATCTCTCAATTTTCTGTCTTAACCAGCGAATTTCATTATTGGTTCCTAAGTTGTTGTTATTTGGAGCTTGTCTAGAGGGTAGACCCTCTTGTCTCCATAATCTACATTGTTACTTATGGTGCCCTGGTTTATTGCAATTGTAGCAATTGCCCCACCTCTTGTTTGAGGCTGTAAAATTTATTTGGCTACGCCCCTTCTTTGATGGGGGCCCTGGTCCTTCCATAGCCACAAATAATAATCCATCTGATTCCTCTATGCGCTGTGCCATAGTTAGTTCCAAGATTTTCTCCGTCCACAAAACAGTTTTATTAGTACACTAATCTGACTTTCACATGCTTCATGTGAAACACTGGAGCCTTTCTGGTTTTTCATCATTTGTTGAGTTTGCACATTGTACCCTGCTTTTGAATCCTCATTCTCACTCTGCAAGTTAGTATTGTGGATGCGCAATCCTTCATTTAGCCGCTTAGTTATTTCTATCTTCTGATTAGCATCATCATACTGGACACGCATTCTAGTGAGAAAATCTGTTTATTCGCCTGGACAGATTTTGCCCAAGTCTCTATCAATTTCTTTTCTTGCTTCATCTCTTTCTGAGTCAGATTTCTCAGATTCCTGTTTAGCTTGTCCTAACATCTCCTCTCTTTCACATTTAAGTTGTTCCTCCAACTGCAGTACCTTTTTATGACACTATATATGTGACACAGGATCACCCTGTCCAGATTCTCTGAGCATAGCTGCCTGTGTTTTTAGAGTAGTTTTTAAATCTCCAATAACCCTTGTCAAGCGCTCGCAGCGCTGTTCGAGCTTCCTCTGCTCTACTTCTAAATTATCAGCCTTTCCCCTTAATGCAGATGCGTCAGACTGATAATACTCATAGTGTGCCCTTCCAAGCTTTTTATTTGCTTGCCATAATACTCTGCATCATTTCTCCTTTCTTGCCTTTCTGATTCCAGCTTTTCCAAAGCTTTTTGTAACTTAGATTCTAATATCTCTGCCTGTGTTACTATGACTGTTGCAGGCATGGGATCCTTGAGAAGGGAATTACATTCCCAAATAGGAGCAGGAGGTGGTGGTGGAGATTCTATTGATTGATTATCATCCCCATCAATATCATGCCCATTAATATCATTCCCATTTGCTCCTCCGGACAATCATCCTTGTTCTGGGCCAACACATCTTTACTGCAATCGCCCTGGCTCTCTTATGGCCCAATGCCATTTTTAACTTAGTAATTTGACCCTGACATTCCTGGTGATTCCCTTTTTCTATTTCTTTCTTTCCTCTCTCAATTTCTTCTCTCATAGCTCCTCTAGCATCTGACAACTTCTGCTGTAGGTCTTTCACCTGTTTTTCCAATTCACCACACTTTTGTGCCCTCACCATAAAGTCCACTCCTTGTTGTATGGCTAAATTCATAGCACCTTGTGTGTCCACCATCCCACTCAGCTCGCTCGCCCGAGCTCACAAGCAGTTTACCATTTTCTGCTCTTCCTTTAGCTGGCGTTGATGGCACTCCACCATTCCATCGTTTACTTCATAAGCTTTAGCCTGCTCTTGCTGATGGCTTTCATCAGCTTCCCTAGATTGCCTTCGGAGTTTCTCAACCTCCTTTTGGTTTTGTTCCATTGAACAATACATTGCAAATCTCAAAACGTGTCTCATTCCCTTATTGGGACGCAATTTTCCAGCTTCTACACATTTCCTCAAGCCAGTCACAAGCACCTTTAAAAGGGTTAGGGTGATTTTGCATAGCCAAAACCATTCCCTCAACTCCCTTCTTTTTTCACTGCATCACGCACTTTACACACATATTGGGCCACCCCAGTGGGTCCCTTTTTTCTTTACTTTTACACTCTCCCATTTTGTTTCTATTGGTGCATGGCACACAATACACCGACACTACGTTAGCCGCAACTAACGCCTTCCTCTTAGAAATCAGATCAATCTAAACCTGTTCTAACGAGGGATTGTGTCAACAAAATTTTCAGATAAAAGCTTTGTCACGTCTCTCCCCTAACTCACAATTTCAAAAGCCCGAAGGACGATACTCTTACTGGGTAGGAGTGACTGTGGGTTTTCAGTTGCTCTCTATACGTCCTCCTGGCTGGCTCGCCAATTTGTTAAGGACTCTTTTGAGACGACATTAAGTTTGTAAAGCAAAAAAAAGCAAAAAATGCTTTTTATTAAAATTGACACAATCAGCTGTATTGTATGTAACATTGCAATACATTTAAGCAGTAGTCAGAATTGAGATCATATTAGTCAATCCCAGCTTCCGGACAGGCGGCGGTTGCAACTCAGTTAGTTGCCATTCTCCGAACCTCTGCCTTGAATACACAATTCCACTCCCTTTTATAACAGTAATTTAACTGTGTGAGACATGTGTCATCTAAAGGGTTATCCATGTCCTTCAGCTCTAAGATAACTCAGGATACACAAGAGTCTGGGTTTGTGAACAAACATTCATATATCCATGGGGATTATCCACCTCGATTGATATGCCAAGAGATAAGCAGCTGTTGTCCAACCTTCGCATCTCCAATTGGTGGAACAATTTTTCATTGGGTAGGGATTATGTCTGAACTGTAGGCAGAAGGATGGTAGCAATGCTCTCTCATACAATTTATCATGAGTTGTGTGGCTCACCTGGAAGCTCCCAAGAGTTCATGATACTTGCTATTCATCCAGTGAGGGTTCAAATCAGCACTTGTGAGATGTCAAATGATCAACCTGTGACTATTCTCCTTGGGGGAGGGCTAAGCAGGGTCTAATTTTAGCTGATCTGGCTCTAAAGTAACACACTTTCCTGCAGAATGTTGACATGGGATCAATCCTCTGTGGTGGTCTTGGTTGTATAGTTCCTGACCAACAGGAAGTGCTCTCAATGGAAACCTGCCAGGCAATGCTCTCTGCAGGTTTAGTTGGTTAAACTCCAGCAGTACTGCAGTCCCCAAAGCCTTGCCTCTTGCCAAGCTGCTTTATACTCTCCACAATTAGTTAAGCAGTGTAGGTCCCTCTAGCACTTATTCCATTCCAGACTCAGGAAAATGTTCCTGTGTAGGGTGACAGATACCTGGCTGACCACAATAAAAATCTAGTTCAAACAGTTGTTACTTATTAGTTTATTGTACAGGTGTGTTTCAGAATTTATCTAAATATTCAATAAAATCTTCCGTCACAAATCAGAAGATTATCGTGAAATAAAGTTGATGGTTGTCTACAGCTTCTGAGATAAGTTTATTGATTCCCAAAAGTCATGCAACCTTTGTACCTTTTTACAGGTGTAATCTTGCTGCTATCGTTGGTAGAGAAGATGATGTAGGATCAAAAACTGACCTAGTGACAGCTAACCCATCCATATTTACAAGAAAGTAAGTATTCATTTAGAGATAGGATAGAGTGAGGAATTCTATGGTTTCAGTGGAAAGATGTAATCGGTCTAGAAAGGTGGACAGAGACATTGTGATATCCTACATGGTTAATAATAATAACCCTTGCATTTGATGTAGCGCCTTTCACATCTTCCAGACGTCTCAAAGCGCTTCACAGAATATACTGTAAATTGAATTGAAGTGTTGGCAAAACATGCGGCCAATTACGCACAGCAGTGTCCCACAAACAGTCATGGATTGAGTGACCAAATTATTGTATTTTTTTTAGGGATTATTATCCCCGTAAAAGCTATCCACCAATCAACTAACAACCAGGTTCCTACTTACTGCTAGGTAAACAGAGGCGTGTGGAATAAGGACATTTTGCCCTGCCGGGAATAGAGCCCAGGTCTCTCGCTTGTGAGGTGAATGCTCTAACCACTGAGCTGCTGGACTCAATGAAGGTTGAATTCAGAATAAGAAGTTAATAGCAGGGTGTGTAAAAATGAATATTAATTATCCTTATATTTGGTATTGCATCTTTCACATCAGGAAGATCTCTCAAATCTCTTCATAAGATAATAATAATAATCATTGCTTTTGATATTGTGCCTTATCATGTCTCAAAGCGCTTCACATAATATACTGTGAAGTGAATTGACTACATTTTGTGCATGAAACGCAGCAGCTAATTGCACACAGCAGTGACCCCAAATAGTCTTTGATTGAGTAACCAAATTTTTTTTGAAGGGATTATTACCGCCAGAAAGTGATCCGTCAATCGACTATTTACTGTAGGTAAACAGAGATGTTTGGAGTAAGGAAACTAGCTAAGGTTTCACCCCGCTCAGGATTCGAACCCGGGTCCTCTCGCTTGAGCTGCAAGTGCTTTTGCCAATATTCTACAGGACTCCACTCAAGATTTACTGTAAAGTGGAGTGACTGCTTTGTTTTGTGTGTGGGCAAATGCAGCATCCAGTTTTCCCACTGCAATGTCTCACAAACAGCTAGAAATTGAATGATCAATTTTATCTGGGGATTGTTCCTTGTGCACTATCAACATTGTAGTGGAAAGCTTGGCTCAGGAACCAAACTGCTAGGACCACCTGAAACGAATGACTCAGTTCTGGTCTTCAATTGACAGGCATGTCAGCTTAGAGCCATGTAAGCCCCAAAGAGATTCTGCTAATTGTCCCAATCTACCCCCGCCCCCAAGCTCCCCACTCCCCCGATGTCCAACTTTTGGTACATAACTTTATGAAGAATATACACTAAATGGTGTATATTGGAGTGTAGTGTGGGAGGGGGTATCTGGCTCTGTGGATGGAATTTCTGGCCAAGTGTAATTACGACAGTACCGGCATTTACTGGCTTTTTTCAGTGCTGAAAAATGCAGGTCCCGGTATTGTAATTGTTTGAATCCTTGAGCAGCAGATAGTGAATAAGATATCTTCTGCTTGTGGGATTTAAACTGAGTCAAAGTAGATATCCCGGCCACTGAAGGCACACGATAGCAGAGTGGGCTTGGGGGAGTCTACACGAGGGCAGGACCATTGGATTTATTTCCTTTTTGGGCCCGGTCTGGCTAGGTCCGAATTCCAGGTAAAACCGGTCTTTACAATCCTGTTAATATGTCACCAGATTAACCCTAGAAGTGAAAGAGTGCAGACATTTTCAGAGCCTTGGTGAATTTATTTTATATTTCGTAGATTTGAAGAGATTAAAGTATTATCTAATGAGGTGGGTAGGCCTTCTGCCACTCTGCCCCCACCCTCTGGAACTCCACCTCTCAGTCCCTCCGCCTCGCCCCCTCCCTTGCCTCCTTCAAGATCCATCTCAAGACACTCCTCTTCAACCGTGCTTTCAATCACCGTGCTTCCCCCACTGCCCTCCACCCTCCGCAATCCCGACCCCCAGCTTGGGTCTGAAACACTGACTGTCCAGCGCCTTGGAACGTCCTCCTGACGTGAAAGGCGCTTTATAAGGATAATTTTGTTTTTGTTGTTAAAAACAATGATTGACTAGTTAGAGAAGGAATCCACCTTGATTGGCTCGCAGAGAGGTAAGCAGCTGCTGCTTAAACTCCGCACCTCCAACTGGTGGGACCACCACTCAATGGGAAGGGATGTGTGCCAGAGATGTGGACAGGAAGATGGCCTCAATGCTCTCATGCATTTCATGGTGAGCTGTGCTGCCCACCAGGAAGCTCACAGGGAGTTCCTGGCACACTTTTCGGATGTCAAACAAAGAAATAGTGACTATCCTTCTGGGGGGGGGGGGGTGGGGGGTAAGCGGAGTCTCCATGGAGCTGACCTGGCTCCAAGTTGATATGTCTGGTACCGGAATATCGGAATCGAGCCAATCCTCTGTCACAGTCTTGGTAATCCGGTTCCTAAATCGATCCGGTCTACAGTATTCCAGGACGCTGCTGATGACAGCACAGCCAGCCTGGCTCATCGGAAGGACTTTGAGGGGCAGACCAGTCAATGGAAACAGGGAATGCTCCCACACAGCCTCAGTTATCCCTGCAAAGCAAAGCCCTATTGGGTAGGACAATAATAATATAATAATGCTTGCATTTGATATAGCGCCTTATTACGTCATCAAGGTGTCTCAAAGCGCTTCACAGAATAGATTGTCTGCGTAATTTGTTGACGAAATGCGGCAGGCAATTGTCCACAGCAGTGTCCCACAAACAGACATGGATTGAGTGACTATATTATTATTTTTGGAGGGATTATTATATTCCTATTAAGCATTGGAGAAGAGGGAAGGAGGGAATGGGGAAATCAAAACACTCACTTTGAATTCTGGTTAAAACAAGTGTGTAGAACACATCGAACGCTGACTGAGAATACAGTACTTAGAAATCATTATAAACACACGTTTAAAGTCAACGCACGATAGAGATAAATGTCAATGGATCCCTGGGACTTAATCTCTCCAACTATTGACTTTTGAGTCTCACACAGAGAGAGAGAGAGAGGTACTGTGTTTCTGCATGTATCAGACACCTGATCTGACCAAACAAAAATAAGAGTGGCTCTTATCTCTGCCAAGAAATATTTATTAACCTTAACAACCACTAATTAAGTTAAACAAAAGCAAAATAAAATAAGCCAAGTATATCATTTGTATCCGCAGCGGGGCTCCGTAACCCCATCACCCCCACCCTCGCCCAGCTCCACGGCTCCCCATCCCTCAGAGAATAGAATTCAAAATCCTCGTCCTCACTTTCAAGGCCCTCCACGGCCTTGCCCCCCTCCTACCTCTCTGACTTGCTAACCCCCTATCAACCTATCCGTTCCCTCCATTCAACAAGCTCCAGCTTGCTCCATGTCTCCTGCCTGACCCGCCCTACCATTGGTAGGGCTCTGAAATATATTTCAGCCTCTCTGCCCCCACCCTTTAGAACTCCATTCCACAGTCCCTTCATCTTGCTCCCTTTCTTGCCTCCTTCAAGGCATGACTCAATGCCCTCTTTTTTGACCGTGCCTTCAGCCGCCCTCCTACCTTTCTGTCCTCCCTCACCCCAACCCCGCCCCAAATGCTCAGGTCCTGATCCCCAGCTGTTCAGCACATTGAGACATCTTCCCGATGTGAAAGGCACTTTACAAATGTAATTTTGTTGTTGTTGCATCGACGAGTGTATAACTGCTGTTTGTTATCTAAATTCAGAACCATCACACCTTGTTTGATCCTCAACTATCCTTTCTACCCCACATCCGTGCCACGACCCGCTCTGCCTTACTCCACTGTCACAACATCGCCCGGCTCCACCACTGTCTCACACCGCAGGCCACTAAAACCCTCAAACACACATACATAACATCCAGGCTTGACTATGCAAACTCCCTGCTTGTTGGCCTCCCCGTCTCCTCCCTCCAAAAGCTGTGGATCATCCAGAACTCTGCAGCTCGCATCTTCTCCCGCACCAGGCTCCGAGACCCTATCACCCCCATCCTCGTCTGTCCCCACTGGTTTCCCATCAACAGAGAATACAGTTCAAGATCCTGGTGCTCACCTTCAAAGCCCCCCATGGCCTTGGTCCCCCCTCCCGCTGCAAACTCCTAACCCCCTACCAACCATGCTCGCTTCCTCCGCTCAGCGGGCTTCGGTCTGCTTCAAGTCCCCTGCCTCGCCTGCCCACCATTGGCGGGCAGGCCTTCAGCCACTCTGCCCCCACCCTCTGGAACTCCATCCCACAGTCCCTCCACTTCATCCCCTCTCTTGCCTCCCTCAAGACCCAACTCAAGATCCTCCTCTTCTACCGTCCTTCAATCACCCTCCTTCCCTTCCTGCCCTCTGCAATCCCCAATCCCGACTCCCAGCTCTGGTCTGAAACACTGACTGTCCAAGGCCTTGGATCGTGCTCCAAGTGAAAAGCGCTATACAAATTTAATTTTGTGTTGTTGTTGTTCATTGTGCACAATTTATTTTTGCAGATATCAAAGTCTAAATTTTAGAAGAAAGCCCTTTTGGGAGAGTACAAAGGTCTATGGAAAAGCATTGATTCTATTACCTGCATTTTCTTATCCATTATATACTGGCATAGTATTTAAAGTTTCCTATACACTGGAAGATTTTGGTTCAAAACTGCAGCCAATATATTTAAACCCATCTTACATGGTAAATATCACTCGGTTCTGGACATCCGTCGGTGTGTCTGAGACTCGACTATCTAGTGGCTTGATAGTATTGAGTGCAGCACTGGAGCTTTGTGACGAGGTGTGGCTATATGGATTCTGGCCCTTCTCGAAAAACATGGAAGGAATGAAGCTCTTCAATCATTACTATGATGATGTAAATCCAAAGCGAACACCTCATGCCATGCCGAGGGAATTCTACACACTTCTGCAACTTCACACCAAAGGCATTCTGAAGTTGCGAGCTGGAAAATGCAAGAACAAGCCAACAAATATTTAGAAGGATGGGGTACAAGGCAAACATACATAGAAGTTCAAATCTGTGACAGTGCAACCTAACTAGTTTTATGAATGTGTTCTCGTTTCATCACTTTTCTTTCCCTATTTTTTCCGTTCCTCTCATCCGAATACACAGCCGCAATAAAATTTTGAGATGCGCTTTGAAACATTGCAACAACGTAATATGATGCTGTATCAAATTCCCGGGATCCCGTATAGTAATAATCCTCCTGAAGTCCCAGGATTGCAACCACAAGTTGAGATTTTCCCTCTTAAAATTTAGAAATTCAGAAAAATGTTTCTGTCCAAGTGTACATTATCTTCTCACAAGAGAGTATGGATAAGTGGCTGGTTGGCTGTGGGATCAATAGAATAGTTTTTTGTGGGTAATTACAGATTGATTTGAATTTCTATTCCTCATATTAATCAACCAGGTTCTATTGATGGTAAAGGCAGGTTATGATGTTAAGTTGCTGACAAATATGCAGTAGACAACACAAATGTTCAATGCTGTATTCACTTTTTCTTTATACCAACAGCAACTTGCATTTATATAGCGCACTCCATGCAGGGTAGCATCTCAGAGCACCTAACCGTGCTCCGAGCCAGTAGTGGGGGGGAGATGGGGTGGGGGGAGTGCGGTGGCCATAGGCACGGTCGAAGAGGAAGGTTTTTAGGTGGGACTTGACAAAGGGGAGAGAGGGGACAAGGTGAAGGGATTGAGAGAGTGTTCCAGAGTTTCGGGGCGAGAGGGGACAAGGTGGAGGGATTGAGAGAGAGTGTTCCAGAGTTTCGGGGCGTAGTGGCTGAAAGCATGACTTCCGATGGTGGGGTGGAGCGTGTGAGGGACGAGAGGGAGGCCCATACCAGTTGAGCGGAGGCGCCGGGTGGTGGAATGGGGAATAAGGAGGTGCCAGAGAGTGAAGGGGTTTAAACACAAATGTGAGGATCTTGAAGTCGATCTGTTCGGTGATGGGGAGAAAGGCGAAATGATCTAACACTGTTTGTGTTGGAACTGTGTGGATTTTCAGTCTTTCATCTTTTATAACTTTGTCTACTTTCTGATGGTACTTTGATTGAGTGACCAAATTATTATTATTATTTTTTAAAAAAATTTTTAAGGACTTATTACGCCCATAAAAGCGATCCGTCAATTGACTAACAACCTGACTCCTACCTACTGCTAGGTAAACAGAGGCGTGTGCAGAAGGAAACTTGGCCAATGTTTCTCCCTGCCCGGGAATCAAACCCAGGTCCTCTTGCTTGTGAGGCGAGTGCTCTAACCGCTAAGCTGCAGGGCTCCACAATTGCTGCTAGTCCTGTGTCACTGAAATTCTGGAAGTTAGGTGGTTATTCTTATATTCATGGTGATTCTGCTGGAGCGAGTATATCAAAGATTTGGAAATCTCGGTCGAGACAGAATGGCAAAATAATCTTTGCCTTCTCTGGGCTTTCTCTGCAAATAATTCTCGCCGGAATCAATGAGTGGCTATGAATACAATCTGATTAATAAAATAAATTTTAATTTATCTATTGATTGTTATACTGTCATTTATTTTACGAAACTTTTCAGTTATTCCTGTGTCACAGAGGTAGGGTGGAGCAAGGTCATGGAGGGCTTTGAAGGTGAGGACCAGGATCTTGAACTGCATCCTTGGGGTGATAGGGTCACATAGCTTGGTGCACGAGAGGACACGAGCTGCAGAGTTCTGGATGATCTGCATCATTCTGTGTCATCCACATACATGTGGAAGCTGACCCCATGTCTGCGGTTGATGTCACCAAGAGGAAGCATATAGATGTTAGAAAGATGTTAGATGTGTGGGCAAAGCAGGGAGCCACCAACTTACCTCTAGAAACCGACGGAAAGTGTGGAGAGGGAGATCACATGCACCATTTAGTTGAGGTTGGGCACCATTATCTTACCTCTCGCAATGGTGGGAGTCCTGGAAAGGGGAATGGAGCTTGTATGCAGATGACACCCAGCTTGTTTGTCAGACATCAATGCCCGGATGAGTCGATAAGAGATGAAGCCATACTCCTTGGCTCCCGGCAAAGTCTTCTCTCCTGACTTCCTCAAACTCCCTGGCCTTTCCATAAGACTTACCAAACCTGTACATAACTTAGACGTATGGTTCTATCCCCAGTTCTCCTTCCTATTCCATATCCAGTCCCTGACCATAATCGCTTTCTTCCACTTCCGTCACATTGCTCACTTCCGACCATACCTCAAAAACATTCAATACGGCTGAAGCCCTTGTCCACACTTTCGTCACACCCGCCTCAACTATTTCGCTCACAAAATATACAGTCAATTCACTTTACAGTGTATTCTGTGAAGCCCTTCAAGACATCTTAAAGACGTGATAAGGCATAGAGTCCCAGGGAAGGATTATGTAAGGATTATTATTATTATTATTGCAATACCCTCCTTGCTGATTTCCCCAGCAGCAATTCAGAACTCCGCCGCCTATGTACTCAACCGTTCCAAACCTCGTATCCCCATCACACCAGTCCTCGTCAGGCTCCACTGGCTCCCAATCAGACTTTAAGTTCGTCAAACTTGTCTATAAATCCCTTCATGCTTTGGCACCTCCCTATCATTCCGACCTGCTAACTCCCCACTCCATCACCAACTGCTTCTGCTCAGCTGGTTCTGGCCTCCTCGTCCTCCTCCTCAGCCCCTCTGCTCCACCATCGGTGGCCATGTTTATAACCACAATGCTCCGAAACTTTGGAATTCCCTCCCTCAATGCCTCTGCCTTGCCCCTATTTCCCCTTTTTCAGTTTATGCCTGAAGACTTCCCTCTTTTACCGTTCTTATGGTCACTTCCTCCCTCCTCCAGCTCAATGTCAGGCTCTGTCACAGTTAAACAAGAACAACAACTTGCACTTATATAGCGCCTTCCATGCAGGGCAGTGTCTCAGAGAGCTTAACAGTGGCAGAGCCTAAATCCGAGCCGGGGGGAGGTGGGACAGCTGGGGATCGAAATTGACACCCAGGTTATGTACAGTTTCGGTAAGTCTTAGGGAAAGGCCAAGGAGGTTGAGAAAATCAGAGTCACAGGAGAGAACACGTTGACGGGAACCAAGGAGTCTGGTTAGGTCTTGTCGAGGTTCAGCTGCAGGAAGTTTGTGCTCATCCAAGCCTTGATGCCCAACAAACGAGCTGATAGAACATCAGCGGACCTGGAGTTGCAGGTAGGTGAGGAGTAAACTTGGGTGTCATACCTGTAGAAGTTTACCCCGTGCCGTGTCTGCGGATGACATCGCCGAGAGGGAGCAGGTATTTCAAGAAGAGAAAGGGCCCAAAGATAGAGCCTTGGGATATGCCGCAGATGGCTATCTCTCCTCTAATGAAAAATCCTAACCTGTCCAGGCTTCCCTGATAGCAGAAACCTGCCATCCCCGGTATCATCGTTATAAACCTCCACTATACTCTTTCCATTGCTGTTATATCCTTCTTATAGTGTGGAGACCAGAATTGGAAAATTCACTCTTAATTTGAAACAAAACTTCAGAAAATCAGCTTCCAGATGAAAGCCTTTCCAAATTTATGACGGCTTTACAAAACTACCCTAAACCCTAATTCTAGTTGCATTGTTGCAATATCAATATTTGATTTAATTTTTAAAATGAAGATGATGATATCGTTAACTTCTTCAAGAAAACACAGCAACGTATGTGGTATAGAAATTCTGAAGCAAACCAGGAATTCAGGTAATATAAAATATTACTATGAATTCAGGTAAATGTTTGAAAGGCAGAATTAAATTTTCCAGAAAAGAAGCTGGATTCTTTAAATCTATTTATGAAAAGCTATTGGAGTATTTTTCACTCAGTTAAAAAAAAATGTTCACTTATGGTTGCAGGATTGTTTACACTGTCAGGTCTGTCGTCAGCCTTGTGCTTTATGGCAGCTACTCGGGAGGATGTAAATGTGGTTACCCAGATACACAAACCTATGAAATGCCCGCTGTAATATTATGCTACAATTAACTTGTTCAGTTAGATCTAACCTTCGGTTGGAAATTACAAGGAGCCAAGCGAAAGGAGTTCTATTCCCAGAAAAAATCATACACACTCACACACACAAACACACAGAGAGACACGCAGACACTCACACACACAATCAAAACGCATAGAGAAACATACACACAGACAACCATATACACACGCAGACACACAGAGAGACACGCAGACACTCACACACACAATCAAAACGCATAGAGAGACATACACACAGACAACCACACACACACACAGACATACAGAGAGACACACAGACACACAGAGAGACACACAGAAACACACAGACACAGAGAGACACACAGACACACAGAGACTCACAGAGAGACACACAGACATACAGATACATAGAGAGACACACAAACACACAGTGAGACATACAGACACATACACACACATAGACACTCATAAATGCAGAGAAACAAACACAGACAATCATACGCACACACAAGTACACAGAGACACACCGACACAAAGAGACAAACAAACAAACACAGAGACACACAGACACTCATCCATGGATATTCATAAATGCATACAGAGAGGGAGACATACACACAGACAATCATACACACACAAAGAAACACAGAGACATACAAACACACAGAGAGACACAGAGACACACAGACTCACAAACACACAGAGACACACTTAGAGACACACATAGATACACACAGACACACAGAGAAACACAGAGTCACACAAAAAAACACACAGACACACAAAGACACATACAGACACACAGAGACACACAAACACACAGACACACAGACATTCAGAGACACACAGAGACACAGATAAACACACAGTCACAAAGAGGAGACACAGAACCACACACAGAGACACAGAGACACAGAGAGAAACACAGACACACAGAGAGACACACAGCGAGACACACAGACAGACACATAGAGGGATACACAGAGACACACAGAGAGATGAACAGACACACAGAGAGACACACAGACACAGAGAGACACACAGACACAGAGAGACACACAGACACAGAGAGAAACACAGAGACACAGAGATAAACATACAGACACATAAAGAGACACACAGAAACACAGAGAGACACACAAGCACACAGAGACACAGAGAGAGTCACAGAGACAAACAGAGAGGCACAGACCCGTAGAGAGAGACACACACACACACACACACACAGAGACACACAGTGAAACATACAGAGAAACACACAGAGACATACAGACCCACAGACACACACACACAGACACACAAAGAGACACACAGACAACCAGACACACACAGAGAGACACAGACACACAGAGAGATGAACAGACACACAGAGAGATGCACAGACACGCAGAGAGATACAGAGAAAAACACAGAAAGACACAGACATACAACCAGAGACACGCACAAAGACACACAGACACACAGAGAGACACAGACACACAGAGAGACACACAGAGACACACAGAGAGACACAGAGATACACAGAGACACACAGAGAGATACAGACATGCAGTGAGACACACAGACACACAGAGATACACACAAACACACAGAGTGACACAGAGAGACACAAAGACACACAGAGAGACGCACGGACACACAAACACACAGAGAGACACACAGACAC